CTTATAATTTAAAGGGGTCATATGATGCGATTTCAATTTTTCCTTTCTCTTTGGAGTGTTACAAGCTCTTGGTGCATAAAGAAGATCTGCAAAGTTGCAAAGACTAAAGTCTCAAATCCAAAGAGATAATAAGTCATAATAAGTCAACCACGCTTTCCTAAAACGGCTCGTTCTAACATGTCTGTGTCACGATGTGGGAAGATTTGCATAACGCCGCCCAAATATTCACGCAAAGAAAGAAGGCGTAACTTTTATTCTCACTGTAGTATTGTTGTTGCCGCCGCTGCCATGTCGTGAAGACGCTGTGTGTTTCGTTGTGAAGGCAAAACTACTTTGTTTGGCCTTCCAAAAGAGGAGGATATCTGCTTCATCATGCCTATAGCTCATCTGTGCTGGTCGCTGAGGAAATACATCAACTTAGTGCTGTGGATCGCCAGATCGGCTTTCACTGTGGACGAAGCGGAGTCCAGCCCGGGGTCGTCACATGTGGTTGCCGCAAACCCACCGGCCGCTCCTTCGGCGAATCCGCTGGCCCCGCTGTTCTCAAGCCCACCCGCCACCGCTCACTCTAGCCCGCCGTCCTCCGCTCACTCTAACCCACCGTGTGTGACGCTGTGTGTTTCGTTGTGAAAGCGAAACTACTTTGTTTGGTCTTCCAAAAGAGGACACGACTAGAAATCAGTGGTTAAGTTGTATTTACAACACTGTTCCAGAACAGTTCAAACCAAATATTCAGATGTGTGCAGCACATTTTATGGAGGACTGTTTCCTGATCCTGAGAGAGTAGACTGCAATGCCGGCTGTTCTGACTCACAGACGTACTATAAGTACGTTTTCATAGTTAAAGAATTTGCCACTGATGATTCAAACGTGAGTTTTGAGCAGTGTAGAGTAGCGCTTGTTGTTTGTCATTTCTCCGATCACAAATGCAGACATGGTTTTATGTTTACGCGACACGATGCAATGCAATGCGTAAAAAGACAGTATAAATCATTATAATCAGTAATTATGTCCCCACTGGATGCAACAAATGCCTCGTTTATAATGGGTTTTAATGTTTTTGTCTCGCCGCTCTGGCCCGGGACACGGCATCACAGTATGGTAGGGGCGTAACATTTCCGTCCCACACTTGAGGAATTCGGCCAATCACAACGCACTGGATAGCTGGCCAATCAGAGCACACCTCGCTTTTCAGACCGATGAGCTTTGTAAAAATCAACACGTTTCAGAAAGGCGGGGCATAGAGGAGAAACAATAATGTACAGTATGTGGAAAATAATGTGTTTTTTTAACCTTAATTAAACCGCAAAAATACATATCATTACACCAAATACACAAAATAATGTTCTTTTTAGCAGCATCATATGACCCCTTTAACTTATTTGAAGTATTTTAAGTAGTTTTCTACACTACAAGCTGTAGCAACAGTAGCTAGCTATTTCAATGCAGTGCCTTTTTAAAAGTACAAAACAATGAGGCTTTTTAAGGAATTTATGATATTAAACGATAGGCTAATTGTAGTCTTATGAGCACTTAGGACTGAACTTATAGTAGACCTGTAGAAATAAGCCTGAAAACGTCAAGCCAGAACTAAGAAGAAGAGTTCATTTGGGGCTTATATTCTGGTTTAAGTCTTAAACTCCAGCTGACCAATTAGGTTAATGTCATACGTGCAGGGGTAAAGCTCTAAATGTGGTTGGCATGCCATTACTGTCCTCTCAGTAGACCAAGAGTATGCTGATCCACCCTTAGCCATCTGCCCCTAATACTAGCATTCAGCAGGGGGTAAGAAGCTTGGTTTGGGACCCACATCTGCAGTGCCCTTTTAAACCTGGAGGCCAGATTGGTCTAACATTTGTATAACACAACTGCCATTTCTCACTTTAGAAAGATATGTGAAGTTATATGTTCTTAATAAGTAACTGAACCAGGGATGTCTCCTGCCAGCCTTTAACCCAACATGACCCCAATCAACCTTTGTAAACTTTGACACAGAGCAACTTTTGCATGTATAAACATTGCATTTCTTTCTTGTTTGTGAACTCATAAGCATACTTCATAAACCAGAGAACCATGAACAAACATGAAAAACATTTTAAGTTTTCATGTATGCACAAATTCCATCTCACACTTAAAAAAAAAAAAAATCAAGTTGAGGTAACCAGGGACATTAAAATAATCTGATAAGTGGGAGGGACACATTCTAAATCTTATCAGTCTGACTCATGAATATTAATTAGGTAATGTAATATTCAACCATTAATATATGATATATATATATATACTTCAGAAATCATTCTGATTTGCTGATTTGGTACTGATTTTGGAAGCTGTCACTTTTTTTAGGATGTTTTGATCGATAGAAAGTTTAAAAGAACAGCATTTGTTTGATATAGAAGTCTTTTGTAACATTTATTTTAAATCAATTTAATGCCTCCCTGCTAAATAAGTATTCATTTATTTAAAAAAAATACTGGCGGAAATAGATGGCAATATTATGACTCTTGGGTGTTGATTCAGTGTTTTCAGAAGAAGCACACTGTCCTGAATCAAATCCTTCACAATCTCAGAGCACTTACGGGTTACTTTGACCTACTTTCCTAAGTGGGATTTTCAAAGGAAGTACGGTGCCTCCAGCCTTCCGCTACATTTATAATGTTGAGCAAGATCTGTGAGGATGATGATGAGCTGCTAGATTGTTAATGTATGCCTAATATATTGATGCTTTCCATCAGTATATTCGTGCAAATTTGATGATAAGTCTGAATTTTTATACATATCAAAACATATCTTCGAAAAAGTCTGAAAACCAGTTTGCCATCTTCTACCAAGGGTAGTATTATTATATTATATTATATTATATTATATTATATTATTTATGGTTGCATTACATTTGATTTCCTTATTTGGAATATGATCAAGATTGCATAGGTGGATGTGTTAAGGGAGTGGCTGTTGGAAATATAACAAAAATATAACAACCACTCTATTAATGAAATTACTTTTTGAAGATCAACTTAAATTATATTTATGTATTTATTTATTTAAGTTTTAAAGGGGCACATGCTTATGTTTTCTACCAAATGAAATACTTTTGAAAAACCAAACAAATGATGTTTGGATTTTTAGTGCACAGAATGCTTGGGTCCTCTCTGTTGTAAATGCACATCCTTTTTCTCTCAGGGCTCAAGTGGTTTGACTGGCTCGATCCCTTGTGTCTTTCAGTGTAAACGGGAGTAAATCTGGAGGGGAGAGGAGAGAGAGCTGCTTGTTAACCGCTTGTTGCTCTCAGCCATGCAAACAGTGAAGTCATACCTTCCAAGGCTTGTTTTGCTCACCGGTGATGTCACCAGCAGCCAATCAGCAGGCGCTGCTGCAGTAGGTAGTGAGTGCAGCGGGAGTCTTGGGTATATGCACGGGGACGCGCCGGCGGCTCTCCGGCTCTCATCATCACATCATTACAGGGATGGAGAGAGAGAGAGAGAGAGGAAAAGCAGCAGCTGAGAATATCTAATCACAGTCGCGAGTCAGTCATTTGATTCCCCAGCTTTTTGTATGTGATGTGCCTCACAAAGGAAATTACATACTGAATAAATCAATTTTAGTCCATCTAGGCTTGCATTAAGCCAGACTGTTTTATCTGTCATGTTAGGCACCTCTTAAGGAAGCTAGCATACACTGATTACGCCAGTTTTTCATTGGCCAGTGACCTTAAGCCAAGGTCAGTTTTGCTCGTGAGGAAAGCAAGACTTGGATTTGTATCCCATCTAATGCAAATATTATATTTGATGAATCATTTTTGAGTACCTGTTTATTTGCTGTGTGCAAGATAAGCTTGGATGTCATGGTTTCTGTAGCAAAGGTTGAAAGGTTGATAGCCGTTTCTGATAGCAGTTGATACTGTGTCATTGCTTAAATAGCTTTCTAGGAAATTGTGATTTGATAAAACTCACTCATTAAGATCAGTCTCAGTGTGGTTGTTGTAAACAACATTTTCAGCTTTTCAGGTGTGTGGGACATACAGTGGGGTCCAAAAATTTGAGACCATTGGTGAAATTGCTTCTGTTTGCTTTTATTTGATAAATTAAAATGATAAATTTAAGAGCTTAATTTATTTAGTTTTTAATTACACATTTCCTGTTTAGAGATGATTGTTTAGAATCATTTTTTAAAAATGCATTAGAAAAATATATTTTGTAATATTTTTCATTAATTACATGCTTCATATGAACAACATATGTTCATATGATTTTTTTAAAAATCTGACATAACTGTAATGACTCTAGTTTAGTTTTGGAGTCAGTTGTGAACTCATGGCTCTAAATGATTCACTCACTTTGTGAAGCTGATTCAGACTGCAAAGTTTTGAGACTGTTTTGGGAATCTTATTGACTAGCTCATTAAAAAGAAGCCCTTCATAAGAGTCATTTGAATCGGACATTGCAGCTCACGCTGTGTTTGTTGTCACGTGGAAATTTTTTTTGTTTTAAGCCTAATTATTATGTTATCCAGCATGATTTGAAAACAACCCAAAGAGCATTTTATGCTTCAACGAAAGCAACATCTGAGTGACCATCTGTAAGAAATATATGATCAATGTCACTAATATGATCATTTGATTAGTGACCTGATTTGATTAGTATGTTTTACATTATTAAAAATCATACAAAATCTTTCTGTTTACTTCCAGCTATAATAAATAGGGGACAAAAAAATCTATAATTAACTACATTGGTATTGTAGTTAATAGAGAATGAATGAGTGTGTGTATATTGATTAGTAAAATAGTTTCAGGATATCCGGATATAGTTAATTAATGCAGAATTGAACTTCAATCAATGCTTTAGTGGAGCACATAGTCTGCAGACTTACTTGATCTACTAATCAAAATCTATTTTCAGCTGTTAGATGAATCATTGCTCCCCAGAGCAGTTTCAGTGTGTAGCTGGTACAGTCCTAAGTGCGTGTGATTGCTCATCAAAGTCCATATGTTCTCACAGGTGCCCACGGAGTCAGAGAGGAACCCCAATTTGTGACGGCTCGTGCAGGGGAGACTGTGATTCTGGGATGTGACGTGGCCCACCCACTCAACGGCCAGCCCTACGTGGTGGAGTGGTTCAAGTTTGGAGTGCCCATCCCCTTCTTCATCAACTTCCGCTTCTACCCTCCTCATGTGGACCCCGAGTACACCGGTGAGCTCGGATTGCCACCTCATTTTATTACATTTTCCACAGAAATATAGCCACTTTTCATCATTTGGACAGAATGATAAAGATTTTTATTAATTAAATGATTAATTATTACATTTAATACAGGAAACTCACATTTTACATCAGTTTTAGACATTATTTCTTTCAGGCAGTGTTTTGCATTGGAAGTGACAATTTTCTATTTTTTCCATTTCACATGAATTAAGCTTTTTCATGCATCAATATGCACATTAAATTACACTGAAACATCACATGAAATTAGTGAACAGTAAATGCCTGTTTGGTTCAAGGTCATTATTTGCAGTCTTCGTCAGATAAATCATTGAATATATCCAAACAACACTAGGATTGTTTCATCTTAAGTGTGATTCTCCTAAAATTACCCTTATGTGAAGTTGGCTTTTTGCATCTCGTCCTGTTTATGATCTAAGAGAACAGCATTTGTGGATATTGCAGGTCGGGATGTACCAAATCAAATTGTGAGTTTAACTACAGGCTGGTATTGACTTTAAGTGTCACTTTGCTTTTCAGACCACAGTTTTGTTTCTGAGTTATACTAAATGAACACAATGAAATTACACACCTACAAAGACATACAAGAACGATTTATATTGCAGGAACATTTAGTCATTTACACTTTATTGGGTGGATCTGTAAATTGGAGGCAGACTAAGAAATTACATTTCTCACCCACCGGACACAGCTGGTAAATGCCCAATTTTTTTAAATTACCATTAGTATTACTGTGAAAAAATATATATATATTTTAGATGTTTAAAAGCTATTTCAACACTACTAATTCAGATGTGTAAAATAACTTGTTTTTATTTTATTTTGTTTAATTAAATTATTTTATTAAAAAAATATTTTAATTAGTTTTATTGTATTTTATTTTTTATTTAAACTAGTTTAATTTAATGTAATTTATTATTTTATTTTCCAGGCACTGTCCAAGAAGTACTAGCATTTATTAAAAAATTAGTAGATTACAAATAGCTTACAACAACCATGTCTTATCTTATTTACAAACCCATCAGTATCTGCCTTTTTTTGCTTTTGGCCCGTAAAATGACAAGTTTTAATTTGGTCAATAATCTGCCTATAAGTATCGGTGGCTGGTCTGTATCTCTAAGTGACGGATAGCTCACCTGTTTCATTTTTTTTTTTCATATGCACGGAATCACAGCAGGTCGCTTAGTCATTTGTTTGACCCACTGAAATGGAGATATCTCACTGTTGTCTCTGAAATCAGCCCAGTCCAGATCTCAGTACATTATTTAATCTCGTTCACAGAGGCTGAAAGCTTTATCACAGGGCAAGAGCCGGACGTGTCAACAGATTATGAATGGAAACGTGCGGGCTGGTTTGAAGAAAGCTCTTATCTTTTGCTCCAGTGTATCTGGCGGTCCAGATCTGTGGACAGGTGGAAGAGATGCTGATCTCAAGAGCAAAGCATCAGCCGAACAGATGAAAGAGGTTTCGGGATGGGTTGGAGGGGAGCGCGGGAGATCAAATATGATCCTTTTCTTCCTAATTGAGATTGGAAATTGCATCATTGATAAGGAGTGGAAACAGAAAGGGCATAATTTAAGAGTATGTCAGATTTATAAAAGCAAAGAAACTGTGATAGTTTATCAGACGTGGCTCAGGGCAAGATATGCAATTTTAATGGCTCTCACTCAGAGTGAATGGTAATGAGATTGGGAAGTTTTTTTTCTATCATCTTGAATCCTCAGCTGAATTTCCAGCAGAGATTTTAACACCTTGTGCAGTGCTGAGCTGTATTTTTAAGCAGATTAAGATATTAAAAAATCTTGAAGGCAGTTGCTCATGGTGCTTGAAACCTGGGATGTGTGATTTGAAATCATATTTGAAAAAAAAAAAAAAATATATATATATATATATATATATATATAATGAAAAACTAAAAAAAATTACTGCATTATAATTATAATTAATAGTATAAACATTTGCATAAATTTCCATTTTAATAATGGTCATTTATTGCTTTTTTGATATGTATAAAAATGCATAACTATTTGAAATTGAAATTAAAATAATTAGTTGTTTATCAGTATCGGCCAATTTTAATATCTGTGTAGTACACATACCAGTAACATATTAGTTTGTTGCAGTAATATGTACTGTACATACTGTTCTGTGTGTATCGTTCCACACAGGAAGCACAAGTTCAACATGTCTTTTATTTGTTCCACTGAGTAGGATCCATAATTGCCATAGATAGCCTTATGACCTGTATTTACATGAGTTCTTGCATGAGGTCTCATTCAGCAGTGTATTTCCTCTGACCTCTGGCCTTATATTGGGCATCGCCTCCTCCAGATTAATGACTCTACTCAGCACATCTACAGTAGCTCTGTGTCTTAGAGTGAGAGACCCCTGCTGTAATAGTAACTGGTGTGCGTCCAGCATAACTCAGGCATAGATATCCGATGTCCACCACAAAAAGCCTGCTTGTCACCAAATGACTCTATATGAATCCCATGTATTGGGTCTTTGTGTAAGCATGAGATTGAGAGAAGATAAAGTGGCCACATATGTGAGAGTCAAATGTATTATTCATTAATGCTAGATGGAGCTGAAATAGCAATGCTTTAAAAGTTTTAGTCTCGTTTACCCAGAAACAAAAAAGTCTCTGGTTCCCATCATGCATTGAGGCTTGTCTGAGTCATGTTAATTACAGCTTAGCAAAACCCTGACTATTTAATTCAAATGTATAAAATAATTATTTTATTTTATTTTAGTGTTTTTAATATTTTGTATTACCTTATTATATTATTATATAATTTTCTTTTTAATTTCAGTTGAAGTCCTAGTAGTTTTATGTGGTTTTGTAATTGTTTTTACATTTTCATATTTCTATTTTGCTATTTTTTTAGTTTTAGTATTTCAAATTCTTTGAATAAAATGTATTTATTTATTATGTTTTTAAGCCTTGCCGTATATATTTTTTTAATTTTAATTCAGCTTTATTTCTGTGAATGAAAATAATTTTTAATAGTGTTAGTTTTAGTGAACAATAATAACACTGCATCATTTACTCACCCTCATGTCATTCCAAACCTGCATTACTTACTTTCTTCCTCTGTTTTTCTCTCCATATAAAGGTCATTGGGGTCAAATTCTTTAAAATTCTTCTTCCATGTTTGAACTGTGCCTTTGACTTAATGAGAGAAAAAGAGGAAAAGTGGAAAGAATTTGAAAGTAGGAGAGAGACAGTTTCATGCTTCCATACTGTAGTATTGACCTCCAGCGTGTCACTTCCTGAGGACTATCTTTACCCTACATGTCAGCATTGTTTCTCTTGCTCCCATCAACACTCTCTCACAGCTGTAAAAATAGGCCAGGCGTTTGACCGCTCTCGTTTCGCTTCTGGTTCTCCTTCAGTGTTATTGATCTGCACGGCATCACAGAAGCTGCTTTGTGTAAGGTATATTTCTGAAGTTTTTTGATTGTGCGACCTTGGTGTCCAGTGGGCACAATTATGTACAATTTCCAGTAGCGCCAATAGTGCTGCTTTCTGTTTGAATGAAGAATGTCTGAAACATTTTGTCAATTTAATATTATTTCAAACAAAGTAGTTATGCTTTTTTAGCTTAAAATAAACACACAAAAACTTATTTTTTTTCTGACCGTCCATCTAATGCACATACAAGATTTAATTTTTCAGACTATATTATTGAGTGCATTTGCTTAATATTTTTTATTTTGTATACTGTGGGATTATAAAAATTCCTTTCAGACTGTGTATTGGCCATGGCAATGCCATTTGTATTGGAAAAAAATCGTTTTGAGGACAAACACAGGCCCTTAATAGCCTTGATTGCTGTCTTGCAATCCCTCTGCCTGTGCTGATATTTTTTCCTGCCATCTGTCCAGCACTGTTGCCAGAATATAGAGAATAAGGCATAAATCCCCCTCTCTGCTTGACCCTCGAAGACAGCCAGCTAGCTATATCATAGTGTCATGATGGATTTGCCCATGTCTGGTGCAGTTAGAGATGTGTGTTTCTCCATGTGCTCACGGGAGTGTCTGGAATTACTGTGGGCCACTTCGGCTCTCACTTCTGCCGTCACGGCCTCTGAACCTGACACTGCTGTCGCCAAAACAACATTCATGAGTGATGCGGCTGTGGACCCGGGCTGTGTACATTATTGCAAGACCGAAGATAAACAATTAGATTGAATTAACTTGAATTAAATGTGTAAATGACCAATGGCTTTTTTGTTTTACGTACCAAACCAGAAAGCATTTTCTAAAAGTCCCTACTGGAAAGACCAGCTTGGAGTGGTGTGAAAAAAAGGGAAAAAAAGTTTATATACACACATATATATACATATATAATATATATAAGTGCTGTCAAACGATTAATCGCATCCAAAATAAAAGTTTTTGTTTATGTAATATATGTGTGTCAGGATTATGGACTATTCTGTGTGTGTTTTTGCCCCTGTGACCCAGTTTCCTCCTCATGTTCATTGTGTTAATTTGATTCCAGGTGTGTCTCGTTCCTCCCCAATTATGCTGCCTTTAAAAGCCCTAGTCCTTTCAGTTCATGTTGGTCGGGTCTGCTTGTTGAACGTCCTCCTTGTTCTCGGTTTTCTTGTGAATTATTAGAGACAGTGTTATTCAAGTACTCCTCGTTTCCTCGTTCCTTGCTCCCTGAGTGAAGTGTGACAATGTGTGTGTGTACTGTGTATATTTGTTATGTATATATAAATACACACACATACAGTATATATTTTTAAAGTATTTACATGTGTATATACTACTAGTATATACTAGTATATATATTTATCTTATAGATATTTTGTGTGTGTATTTCTATACATAAATAAATATATATACACAGTACACACCCATATATAATGTAAACAAAAACGTTTATTTTGGATGCGATTAATCATTTGACAGCACTAATATATATATAT